AAAACGCAATAATCCCGATTGCCAAATTAGTAATAGCGAATTTAAACAAAGCGAATTTTTCTACATTACCAAATATGGTATGGATTAATTACTTAATTTTGACTAGAATTATTTTACCGATCAAGATTAAAGATTGTTACATTTTCCCCCTTTAAGTTCAATGTCCTTGTTGACTCATATTCACTGACTTTTTCTTGACAATTCTTTAGGTGTTCCATAGGTTCCCATGTAGCATCATATAGTGGGTAACCTAACCATTTCACAAGGTACTGTGGCTTTTTACAAATAATTCTTTTGTCCAAGATCATTTCAACTTCATATTCCTCCTGATCATTTTCTGCTATATAAATAGGTGGTGGTGGAATTTCCCTTTCAAATTCATCAGATTCTTTATATGGCTTAAGGAGTGAGACATGAAACACTGGATGAATTTTTAAATTTGCTGGTAATTCTAATTTATATGCTGTTTTTGATATTTCTGCTATTATCTTATATGGACCAATATACTTAGGATTAAGTTTTCTTGTAGGTCTTTCTTTATTTACAGGTGGTTAATATTTTTTGTTGATAATAAGACTCTATCTCTTATTTTATATTCTACATGGTGTCGATGTTGATTTGCATATTTAATTTGTTTTTCTTGTGCTAATATTAATGTATCTCTTGCTATTTTCATCATATTATTCCAACGATCTAAGAATTCATTCACAGTAGCAACTCTTGTTGAATTATTCGATAAAATTGTCACTGGGGTGTTTGGATGATATCCACAATCAAGTTCAAAAGGTGTGAAACCTGTGGAGACATTCTTTGAATTATTGTATGCAAATTCTGCTGCAGGTAAATATTCATCCCATTGGTCTTGATTGTATGTTGCATAAATTCTTAACATTTCTTCTAATGTATGATTCATTCTCTCTGTTTGACCATCTGACTGAGGATGAAAAGCTGTAGACATTGACAACTTAGTACCTAATTGTTGAAAAAGTGTTTTCCAGAAATTGCTGGTAAATTTTGCATCTCGATCTGAAATGATTGCTTTGGGCAATCCATGATTTTTAAAAATTACTGAAAAGAAAATTTTTGCAACCTCTGGAGCAGTAATAGTTGTGTTAGTTGCACAGAAATGTGCTCACTTGGTTAATTTATCAACAAATACTACAATTGCATCTTTTCCTTGGCATGTTAATGGGAGTTGGACAATAAAATCCATAGTGACTTGTTCCCATCTCAGATTTGGTATAGATAAAGGTTGTAACAGTCCTGCAGGCATTTGATTACTACTCTTGTTTCGTTGGCATTCATCACAGTAAGTATATATTTACATACATCTTTACTCATTCTTGGCCAATAAAAATTTCTCATAAGTGATTCACATGTTTTATCAATTCCAAGGTGACCAGCAATCTCAACATCATGATGTTCCTTTAGAATTTATCTGGGACTGCTAATCTCTTTCCATCTATTAAGTATATTTTATCATTTTGAAGCTCAAAATATTTAGTTCTTGCTTGTTGTTTAGCATCACTATTTTCTAACTTATTTAAAATATTCCAAATAGGATTAAAATAATTATCATTTAAATAAGCCTGTTTCCAATTAAAATGATTATCCAATTGTACAGATATGGTTGAAACATTAGCAAGATGAGGTAAACAAGAAAGAGCATCAGCAACTACATTGGTTTTTCCTGGTTGATATTTTACTTCAAAATCTATAGATTGCAATAATTCCAAAGATTTGTTTGGGATTTAATGAATTCAAGAGATGCATGATCAGTTATGACTGTAAATTTTTGTCCCTCCAGGTAAGTACGCCACAATTTTATAGCATGAACAATAGCTAACAATTCTTTTTCATGTGTAGGGTAATTTTGTTCAGTGTTAGACAACTTACGAGACTCATATGCAACTGGTTGTTCACCCTTCCCTTGATTTTGGCTTAACACTGCACCTATTGCATCTGTTGTTAGAATAAAAGGCTTTGTAGGGTCTGGTATAAGCAAGACTGGAGCAGATGTCAACTGGTGTTTGAGTTGATCAAAAGCTTGTTGTTCTTTATCTCCCCATTTAAATGATGATTCTTTTTGTAATAAATCGGTAAGAGGCGCAGCTACTGCAGAGAATCCTTTAACAAATTTTCGATAATAACTTGCTAAACCTAAAAAAGATCCTAACATCAGAAACATTTTTAAGTGTAGGCCAATTTTTAATGATATCAATTTTTCAAGTGTCTACAGCTATTCCTTCTGACAAAATATAATGACCAAGGTATTCAACTTTCTTTTTAAAGAATTCACACTTATTAATCTTTGCATACAATTGATGCTTTCTAAGAATTCCCAAAACTAATCTAATATGTTGAAGATGTTCCTTTTTTGTATGACTATAGATTAAAATATCATCAAGATAAACGATAACAAACTGATCTAAATATTCTCTAAAAATATCATTCATGAGGGTCATGAATGTTGCAGGTGCGTTTGTAAGTCCAAAAGGTAAAACTAAGAATTCATAATGTCCATAACGAGTTCTGAATGCAGTCTTATGAATATCTTCTTCTTTGATTCTTATTTGATGATATCCAGAATATAGGTCTATTTTAGTGAAGTAATTAGCACCCACAAGCCTATCCATCAATTCATCAACTCTTGGTAATGGGTATTGATTTTTAATTGTAATCTTGTTCAAGGCTCTATAGTCAATGCATAAACGAAGAGTTCCTTCCTTTTTGTGAACAAAAAGTACAGGTGATCCAAAAGGTGAGATACTAGGACGAATAAAACCTTTCTTTAAAAGATCTGCTAATTGTTTCTTTAATTCATTCATTTCATCAAAAGACATTCTATAAATTGGACGAGAAGGAGGTTCAGATCCAGGGATTAATTCAATTGCATGGTCAACATTTCGTTTTGGTGGTAGATGATCAGGTAAA